CTTTGTGTTTACCATCTCAACCTGGTAATTACTATATGCTGCTCTATTATTATTGGTTTTTAATGTAAGATCCCATTAACTAATTTGAGAAAATTAAAAAAGTTATTAAATTACTTTAAACTATATATATTTGTCATGTTTCTCTAAGCTAGTTGATCTTACTTATAAATTAATATATAATCTAATAATCCACATAAGTATTTTAAAAATATCATATAACATATGCTATAATTAAGTAATTTAATAATTTTCTTAATCTCTTCAAGTTAATTAGTTGGGTCTTATATATATATATATTAAGGACGGGGGTAGTATATCTATCACGTTGTATTAGAGAACATTGCCAGTCTCTGCGTATTGATTTCTGTTCGGCATTTTATTTGTCAAAACTTAATGAAAAAGAACGGAACTACGCTTCCAAATTTTTACTTGTTTTACAGTTGGATATATGTGTGTGTATGACTGTATTCTAAATTCTTTTTCTCCCTCAAAAGTTTTAACCTAAGAAGTTAAAATGTTATAATATCCTTTAGCTTATAGATTTTCACCCAAAGCATTTCTCGCATTAAGATTGTATCGCATGATAGGCTTCCATATGTATGTTGGATGTACTAATTGCCAATTTTATTACATATATGTTAACATGTAGTGCCTTGGATGTTTAATATAAAACCTAGATAACTAATTTATGAATATTAAAAAAATTAATTAAGTTGGTTATTTGTAATAAATGGATACTCTTATTCAAAATATCCTTATTAATTATGTATATTGTAACTACTTTTGGTAAAAATCCTTTAACATATGCAATTACTATATGAATTATTTGGACAAAAATAGATAAATATAAAGTACAAAATTGATTAAGTTCTTATATTTAAGAATTAGAACCAGAATGAATTTCTAACTAGGTTTTATAATGGGGGCACATTCGATACTTGTCATAATGATAAGCATAGATTGCTCATCTTAATATAGACCATCCAGATCAATTTTAAATGGTTTAAATTGAATTAAATTTTTTTATATATTTTAATTATTTTTTACTTTAATAGATACAAAATCTAAAAGATAATTTTATAATAACACTTATTTAAAAAAATAAATTGATTATTGATAAAATTACGTATTAGATCTGAACCATCCATATCAAATTTTAAATAGTTTAAATTGCATTACAGTAATAAGCACACAGTATTCATGGTTGTGCTGAATTAAAACCCGCCCGAGATAGTAATATTTCTCAGTACTGAGAAATATGTGCTCTGTAACTCTGGAGCTTGCGTGATTGTATTCCCCTCCTTTTTGTCGTTCAATACTTACATGTCTCAGGTTTACAATGGATGGAATCCTTTATTGATGCCTAATGGCAGCAAGATGATCTAACCATATGTGTGTGTCTGTGTGTCCATCTTGTACTTGATTTACCTTGACAATGATGAAGAACTATGGCAGCTAAAATCCTGATCAAAATGCAGTTATAGAATAAAAAATGACAAAGCCATTACTCATGAACTCGTGATGGGATGATAGTTATCAAACTTAGCTGTGGCCAATGATATGTTAAACATCTGAGGAATGTGAACCATTCCGGCAGGTACAGCGCCGCTAGAAGACGAGCTCTGGTATGATCGTGTTGAAGCTTCGAGGCTGATGGAGAAGATATTTGTTCGTGAAACAATTGAGAGAAAAGGGTAATTCTGGGGGGAAAAAGTTCATTGTTTTGTTTAGAGAAAAGGGTAATGCATAAATAAATGTTTAAAAGTAAATTATGTTTATATTTACAAGTTTTTGATTAATTTAATTATGTAATTTTATAAAAATATACAATCAATTTGCATTCAGTCTAGTTTAATTTAGGCTAAAGTAGATTTAATCCTTTGACTTTTGACTTTACAAGGAGTTTTAATTTGGTCTCTTAATTTTAAAAAGTATATTCTAGTCTTTTAGCTTTAAAATTATTAAAAAAATGATGATATTAAAATCTTGAATATTGATAAAACATTCTTAAAATACTAACATATAGAGTTTAATTTTTAAAATAACCAAAAATTATCATTTAAGCCTAACAATTTTAGGGTTAAAAGACCAAAGTTTAATTTAAAACATTCAAAAATGTAGAGAGAAATGGGTTGGCGGGTCATCATATATATATATATATATATATATATATATATATATATTGCCATCAATGAACATATAAATACTGGAACATGCATGCCATGATATATGTTTTAAACCTAATTTAAGAGATTTAACAGTGTTTAGGGGCCCAATAAGAGATCCACGGGCTTATTTCACCCAAAAAGAGGTGATCCACGGGCTTACTAATGGGCCGACGGATCACACAAGCATGAAAAGTGCTGCTTCCGAACCGAGGCATTTGAAGGTCAAAAGAAAAAATGTAGTAGGCAAAATATCTGAGAAAGAAACATGCTAAGGAAACAACTCAGTCTGCAAGTCATAAGATTTAGAAAACTTGCCTTTTTCTTAATCAATGCCACTTTAAAATAAACATAATTTTAAATATTATGCCTTCTTTTACTTGCAATTGGAAGGTTGCTAGTTTTATTCTGCTTATAACCTTAAATGGTTAGTGTCTACTCCTTTTTTTTTAAAAAAAAAAAAGAAACTTTTCTAAAGCATACTTCTATGATTCTCAAGACAAAACTATTCTAACGCAAAGATGGTCACTCCATTTTTAAGTCAAGGGACTAACAAGGGAGTGGACAACCTGCTTCTTCATATAATTCGCGTTTGAGAATATGATGAGTGAATGAATATCTCTTTGAATAAAGGGAAAATTCTAGAAAATGTCCTTGAAATATATGAAATCCCAGATTGAGTCTTGGAATTTCAAAAATGACAGAAAGGGTCAGTGACCTAATCTGTCATTTGTGAAATTAAGACCAATTGACAATTTTGCCCTTGGCTAAACAAAAGTGAGTAGTTATTCTCTACACAAATCTAGGTAACGCTTACAGTATTCTAGTGATTATATGATTGTAGTTAATAATAAGATACTTGATAATAATAAGATACCTGACTATGAAAAAATGAATAGTTATTCTCTACATGAATCTAGGTAATGCTTACATTGTTCTAGTAATTACAAAATTAGTTATAGTTAATAACAAGACACTTGAATATAAAAAAAATGAGTAGTTATTCGCTACACGAATCTAGGTAATGCCTAAACCATTATAGTGATTCCTTAAATCATTGTAGCGAATGAATACAAATGAGGGCAAAGTTGTTAATTCCTCTTCATTTGACAAATGACAAATTGGGTCACTGACCCTTTCTGTCATTTTCAAAATTCCAGGACCCAATCTGGAATTTTCCATATTCCAAGGACCTTTTCTGAAATTTTTCCTTGAATAAATTAAAAAGAAAAAAGATCAAACCATTCGGTTCAAGAAGGAAATTGATGAACCAGTTTGGTTTAGACATTAAATTGGATAGGAGTTGAACAAAAATCGAACTGGTCAAACTAGTGAAAACCTGTGTGAACTAGTTTGAATGATTATGTTGCTGTTAGTATTTTTTCTTATTCAGCTCCTGATATCTCAGTCACTATAGATTTGAATAAATTTTAATGATAATTTTGGGATCAATGAATATTAATTTTAGTTATTAAAAAATTGTAAAAATCAAAATTATCAATGTTGTTATACTTTATTATTATTATAATTAAACTATTGTTATATTTTCTTGTATTTTGTTATTATTGATTATTAATGTTGTTATATTTTATTACTTTCAATTAAATTTTGTTATTTTAACATGACTGGTTTAATCCCCAATTGATTCCGGTCTTACCAATTGACCTTTAAACCATTACCTCAACTGATTTAATATCTGATTCGATTTTTTGTTCCTTGCTTTAAATTCATTTCTCCTTATTTTCTTTATTAAACTTAAATTTGAAAGTAACATTAATTAAATCCAATAATATTCATGCAGGCAAAATTTTTTAATAATATTTATAGTCTAAACTCAATCTACTAAGGCTGTTCAATCAAAAAAAAAAATCTGTGGAAATTTTATTAATTCATTGATTTGTAAGAAGCATTGACATGTTATTCGATTCATCATTTTTCAGATCATTTCGGCTTAAATAAAAATGATTTGTGCATGTAGACAACAAAAAACCAAAGCACTTAAATAAAAATGAGACAAATGAATATCCCTTCTGCAATATTGACTGTATGCAATGCATCTTGAAGTGATAAATAGAAGCAAATGGTACAAATTATATGCCATCATCATCCTCGTCATCACCAAAATCTGTATCTTCGTTTTGTCGCTGCTTGACTGTAAAGAATATGAGAAATAAAGACACTATCAAAATCAATTTGCAGTAGACATTTACCAGAGTATAGAAAGAATGAATCTGAGCAAAACATGAAGCATGTGTTAAAATAAACGTTTAATTTTGTTGTTCTTCCAAAAATTGTATATCAATTACTATATCTGATACTAAATATAAGACTTAATTTGTAATGTAATCTTTATATTTAGAAATGGACGTAGTACATCTTTTGAGAAGAAAGAGGATCACAGAGGAGGCAGTATATAAATAAGGAAACATTAGGCCTAAGTCCCCATTTTAAAGTATAAATTGTACTACGAAATAGATCTTATATTAAGAACTAGTGAAGTATAAAACTTTTGTAAGGTGTGCTGTGCCAAAATTTCTAAGTTGAGCAATTAAAGAATATAATACCAGTAAAGAAAATAAGAAATTCTTAATATGGGTAGGTGTGGATAGTATAAATGTGCATACCTTTGAAGAGCAGAAAGTGTGATTTTGGAGAAGATGGGACAATCCTTAACATGAAGATCTATCAGCTCTGGAAGTATGTTGTTGTAAAACCCTTCTTCTTGGATTTCTAGTTTGCAACTGCAAAGTCCCTTTAGTTGAGAGCACTCTTTAATCCTTAGATATTTCAATTGTGGAAGAGGTTGAGAAGAGGTCAAAGAGGGGAAGAGCCATTTCAACTTTCTACATCTAAAGACAACCAGAGTGTGAAGTTGTGGGAAGCAGAAAGAACTTGGAAAGTGATGATGCTCTTCTTCTGATGACATTATTTCCTCCATCTCCTCACATTCTTCAATGCTTAGATACTCCAAACATGGGAGGCTTCTAATCACAGTGCTAGAGAAGATGCACTTCAATTTTCTACATCCACTCAGACATAACTGCTTAAGATTTTGGAACATGAAAAAACTGGGACCCTCCCATACATATATGAGGTCATTTGAATCCTCCAAAGACAAGTACTCTGCGCTTGAGATCAACATCATCCCTTTTTCTTCATTTACAGGCAATTGTTTTTCTGCATTTGATGATGTTTGAACATTTGAATCTTCTGTTAAAACCTGCAAGAACTACATTTTCAATTAAAAAAGACAAAAAGAAATCTGGTATAGCTAAATATAATACAGAATATTGATTCATACCGACATTATTGCCAATTGTTGAAGGGCCCTTCCCAAACTTGAATCCACAAATCTGGGGCAGTTGTGTATGTTGATGTTGCTTAACTGCCCTTGAAACTCTAACCCTTCACAAACACTCATCAAATTTGGCAAATTTCTTAGTTCTATCATCCTCAAGCTTGAAAGCACAGATGTCTCACCATAGCTGGCATCCTTTTCACTACCATGTCCAAAAATCGCCTCTAATTGATTAGCCTCACTTATCCACAAAGAGTCTAGCTGTGGAAGACTAATAGTCATGGACATAGAGAAGAGTCTTTTGAGCTTGTTGCACCTCTCAACCACCAACTGTCTTAATTCTGGGAAGCAAACTTGAACATTGGACATGATTTGATGTTCCTTATTTTCCGTAATTATTTCCTCTAATTCCTCACAATCAGCTAAGGTCAGGGAAGTCAACTTGGGAAGGCTGTTGTGGACGAAAGTGCTCATTGAGAACAAAAACTTCAACTTTTTACTATGAGTTACTTTTAAGGAACAAAGATATTGGAAGCTCAAAACTTGTGTGGGAACAAGACCTCCTAGCATTTGTTGCTCTGAGTTGTTGGTTTCTTCTTGCTCATAATCACCAATGACTCGCCACCGGTGTTCAACTCTAGAAGCTTGACTATCAAGCTCTCTAGGATTTAGAACAGAAAGAGGATGATTGAGAGCCTCGTTATTATTTAATTGGCTGTCTTTCAACACATATTTCCTTATAAGTCCCTGCACATAACATACAAGTGAAAGGTATCATGAGAAAAATTCGTATCGTATTTGTGTTGGCAGCACCGAGGTAGTCACAAGTTGATAAACTAAACCAGATTTCATATGGTTTGTTCCCTGCATAATAGTACATTCGATGTAGATTACAAAAAGAAAATAAAACGCATGTGAAGATTGATACATGTGAAGAACTACAAAGGAATATTGTATTAAATGTAGGATCATTTGTTTCCAAAGCAGCTTTCGCATGTAGATTTCAAGTGCATATGCATGTGAAAGGAATGAATGAATTAGACTGGAGTAGCGAACAGAACATTACAACAACCAAAAAAAAAGAGAAACAAAAATACAGAATATTACATACCTCTTTTGACCAGTCAATAGTTGCCCTCTTAATTGGCATGAGTTTTGGGCAGTCATGAACCTCAACTCTGCAAAACTCCCCTGTGTGCAACTTAAAGTTAAACCCTTGGCTGATCATATTAACAAGTCTTGGCAAGTTCTTAAGCTCCATATGTTTCATGCTTGGTAATGTGAGCTCCCTTTCACTGTCAATGTCATGATGTTCAATATTTGAGCACTTGAAAATTTCTTCCATTTGAGAACAATTTGATATGATTAGAGTGCTTAGTTGAGGAAGTATTAAGGTACCAGAAGCACTGATCATGAAAGATAAAATGAATTTAAGCTTGTTGCAACCAAAGATTTTCAATCTGTTCAATTTCAGCAGACAAGATTCAGTGATGGATAGATTCTTTTGAGTCTCTCCATTCCCTGAAAAAATTGCCTCCAACTCCTCACAACAAGATATGGTCACTGAGGTTAACTCTGGAAGACTTTGATAGATATGAGTAGAAAAGACAAATTTCAGTCTTGCACATTCTCCCAAAGTTAATTCTTTGAGGTATTGAAATGTTGGAATTTCTATAGTTGGCAATAACATGTATTCTTCATTCCTCAGTTGATGGCCCTCGAGTTCCTGAAAATCCTTTGTGAAAGAGGAAAAAAGGGAAGAAAATAAAAATGAAAACCAGTGACATATGTGCTATAATATGATAAATAATCGAGATTAATTAAAATTCTATATGTAGCTGTGTTATTCTTGCATGGACTTAGTCTATCAGTTATTTGGAAAATTAAACATATAAAGATCAGCCACATCCATATATAAGAAAATGGACTTTACAATGACGTATATTTATTGTGGGCCGTAGAAATGATGAATAAGTCGAATGACCAAAATATAAAATAACAAAATGCATATAATGGCTGGATTATCCATAAATATTTTGTAAAGACGGCGATGCCCAACTTCTATTAAGGGCCTTCGTTTTACTTGAGGAAAAAAAAGGTGTTAGGAAATTTTTTATCAGCATGCAAGGAATTTTTTTAATTCAATGAATGGAAGTCAGTTAATTCTCATTAAGTCCCGTATTAAAATTATAATTTTAATCATTCTCCACAATAAATTTTGACTTATATGTCAGTTATAGTAATTGTCCAAAAATTTTAAAAAAAATATTAGTGTTGTTAGTTTAGTTTAGAAAAGAAAAAAGAAATCCATAGTTTAATTAAGGAATGATGAAAATTATAACGTATGTTTTTTTAATTGCTATTGGTAATTGCATATTGGGTTAATGTGCAAACATGCTCCGAAAATTTTCACTCATAAGCAATGTTGTTTTTGGTACAACAACAATACATGCAAACCGATTGATCGGTCAAGGTAAACTTCCTAACTCTCATTCCATCCTTCTTTTCCTCTACTGCTGCATTTTTTATGAGTTGTTGGGGGCTGAAAATATGGCCTTAAAGAGGGAGACCGAAGAAGTTGGAATGATAGTGTAACAAAGTGATGGGGAAGGTTAGGACTTGACTAATAAAGCTTGTCTTTTAGCTTGCATGCTGAGTATGATGTTTGGGTGGTGATTTTTCTGAAACAGGGGGTGATTGGGTTTAGAAATCATGTGTAGATGATACACTAAAGCTTGTGGGATTGATTTCACTACTTGCATGTTGAATATTGGTTCAGGGGAAGAAAGTTTCGAATGTGAAGTTTTTGTTTCAGGAGAGTATTATTCAACTTTGCTTATGGAAATTGCATGAGTGTTTAAATGCTAAGTTATATGAATGTTAATTAGTGTGTGAGGATGGAAGCTTCATGGATTTAAATTTTCAAGGCTGAAATGTATTGAGAACTTGCTGTTTGAAGTTCCTAAATATTAGATAAGCATTTTAGATTGTTTAAGCATGCCCAAACACTCCAATATGATGGAAAAACAGTAAGCTTGTACCTGGAAATTCCCTAAATTCAAAGAAATGATGCTAAAATCTGAAATGTTATATATATATATATAGTTATATATTTGCTGGGGCTGTAGGTGTATAGCGTATGAAGACTATGGTTAAGTGCTGATAAATATACTAATATAGGTAATAATGGTACTATGTGCCTACGTCATACTTGGATATAAAAAGGATGGGCTAAGAGCAATCTAAGAAGCTGGAAATTTCCAGATTTAAGGCTGTTATTCAGTTTTCATTAAAACTATGATTAGATCTTTCAAAATAAGGAATCTAACACTGCTAAATGATTCATGAAAATGAGTATTGGTACTGTTTGTGGTGTGCAGTTAGAAGCTTCAAGAGCCCAAAATTTTAAGGCAATAAAATGGTACCAAAAGCTAATGGACTTGCATTATATACCATTGGTGTGATGTATGAAAAGGAATGCTCGCAAAATTTGGATTTGGACACATGATTTTAAATCTGGGAAAAATTCAGATTAAATTGCAAAGTTGTTCAGAAGTTTAGAAGATGATTAAGTGTTCAAATGAGACGATACTTGAGTTGTTTAAGTGCTATGTAAATGGCTGATGATGGATGTCTACTATGTGGAAATTTTCATGACTGAATGAAAAAATAGCTACTGTTTTAAAACTCTATAATAATAGAACAGTATGATTTTTAAGCCTCCAATATGCTAGGATGTACTGAAGACGATGAATACCATTTAAATGTAAATTCTTGGAATAATTAAGGGTGGAAATAGCCACTGCTTTAAAAATGCAAAAATAAGGAATAAGTGTTTTAAATTTTTTAGCTACATCTAAGACATAGTTTAAGGTTTTCATATTATGATTTAAAGCAATGAAGTTGGATTCATGCTTTTTCTTTCCCTACCCTGTTCGGCCAGCACTATTTGAATATGAAGAAGATGAGTTATGTTAGATTTAAAGATTCCAATGGATTTAGAAAGTAAAATTATTTGGGGTAGTATAAGGAAAGATTTTCCAAACATAAGTTAGGAATTAGAGAAACAAGTTAAAGAGTCAAATGAGAGTTTGGGAATGGGAAAGATTTATGATGAATGGTAATGTACCCAAGTTAAGTATTAATTTGTTCCTATAAATGTATATATTAATTATTGGATTCAATAATTCCTATCAAAATTAAGGAGGAAGCAAAGCTAAGGAAGTTCAAGCAAGAGGATGTAACTTGGAAGAAGAAATAAAAGGTAGTGAAACTTATTGATTCTTATATAGTTTGCATTTGGTTGTTTGCATGTTTATTTGCCATGCATGTCTTTAAACATGTAATATCCTTGCCTGAGTTGGTACTGTGGCCATGTGTATTTGCTTATAAGGTATTGTTCTAAATTACATTGGCTATTTACATGCTTGACTAATTACTATTGCTACTGAGATTCTCTCAAATCTCACCCCTCTTCTTCCATGTATCAACAAAGTAGCAAGTTCCTCAAGAGAAAGGCAAGCTTATAGAGAAGATCTGGAGGTGGAGACACCAAAGAAGTTTTTAGTTGTTGTCATATAAGTATTATTTTGTTGTTTTATACTTATAGTATTTGGTAGTCATGTATGGCTATGGTTTTGTACATAAATATATGTAATTATGTAAGGAGAATGCGGGCAATATACACCTCCATAAAGAGGAAAGTAAGGGCTTTTGTAGCCAACAAGTGAGTGTCATATGCTTTGATGGCTGGATGGTGGTAAAGTAGAGGTAATAATAGCTAATTATATTTACTTGTCTTATAATGTAAGGGCAAGTGTATGCCGCGTGCGTGCCCAGGGATAGAGAAGTTGCTCAAGTAGAAGAATTTTGTGTTGATTATTTGCTAAGTGTGGGGCTTAGCCTGAGTCTTAAGATAATTTTACCAATTTTATAAAAGGGTTAAATCAAGTACTTGAACCACTAGACAAGGTCCATTGAAAGTAGGTTTTCGACAATTTAAAAAATTTCAAAAAATCTCATTTCCTAAACAGGATCAATCCTTGTGTTTGGGAAGTGTTTTCAAAAGAAAAAAAAATTCTCAAGATGAAATATGGCTTTTAGCGGTTTGAAATCATCTAGAATAACCTTACTGGTGTATAAAGATAAGGTGTTATAGAGTGTTACATTTTAATGATAAGAGGCAACATAGAGGCAACCTTAAACTAAAAAAAAAAAAATTCTGAAATAATATTGTTCCTGAGTGAAAATTTTTGAAATAAATTTATACCTAAACCCTTGCATTTCCATTTGCATAATATATACGGTTGTAAACCAAAAGTTGCCATAAGTAAAAAGGTTGCCATGAGTAATTGCATTTTTATTTTCTTAACGCGGAGCACTTCTAAACCAAAAGCAAAGTGAGATTCAAATATTCAAAAAGAATAATGCATGCCTTGAGATATTCTAATTTCATTTCTTATTTTTAATTACATAATGTGAATTGACTAATTGACCTGATCATCTCTCAATATGTATTCCCATGAACAGTATTTGCTATTTAAAGCATGCTCAAAGAACATTAATCATGTCAACAAAGATATTTTTTATATGAAAATCTTTTAATAGTTTTTAACATTCTTGCAAATCAAATTAAAGTATGGGAGAGTAAATGCGTACCATATTTGGACAATCCCTCCATTCTATTGTCTTTATAGATGTCCATCTTGGATGACAGCTCCCTAAGCAAATTCTAGCAAGATTTGAAAGACTTTCAAGCTTGAGATGTTCCAAGAGAGGAAGCACTATCTGGGTTTCATATTGATGATGCATTGGTTGTTCTTCACCACCGTTTTCTCCAAACACAAATTTCATCTGGGGAGCATTTGCTATGGATAGATGCTGCAATTGTACAAATCTTTGAGCTAAAAAGACAGGGCATACATATTCTAATTTGCAACAATCATCAATAGACATTATTTTTAATTTTGGGAATCTTGAACTCTTCCATACATCACCATCACCCCTCCCTTTATTACATGCTTCAATTCACTACAGCCTTCTATTTGGAGCTCTTCTAAGGATGACAAAGTGCAAGCAGCAGAGATAGGGAAGAGATATGTCAACATCGGACAATTGAGATTTTGAGAAACTTAAGGTTGCATAAGTTGCACTTAGCAGGGAATATGTGGAGCAATTGAGGGCAATTGGATAGAGTAAGTCTTTCCAGCTTTTGGAAAAAGCTACAAGGAGAAGGACCATGATATAGTTCTTTAAGATTATCCATTAGTGTTAGCACTAACTCATCCAATTTGGGGACAACCACATCTTCATGAAAAGTAGTTTCGCTGGTAATACATTCGATCT